CAAAAAATGAGTCTAGGTTAATTGAATTTACTTTAATTATTTATTAAATTATTTCCGGGCCTATAATAATTTTCATTTATGGCTCATTTTAAAGAAAACATATAAATCTTTCAAGCAGTGTAAAGCCCGAGAATGTTTGACCAACTGTTTTATAATCACCTGTCATTTTATTCCAAACTTGGTATGGAGTAACATCATGCACTTGGGGGTGAAGATGGGGGTCATTTACATTGATATATGAGTTGCTTTTGAATACCTTGATGAAATATTAATTAATTTGCCTTTATAATCAATTCATTTAATGAACATAAATGTACAATATACGAATGTTTAATGTTTGTTCTTTCAAATCTTAAAAAAAATTGAAGCAACACTGCCACAGTTTTCATAATTACGTTTGCCTTGGTTTTTGGTTAACTGCCTACAGCGCTTATAGTGCTTTGATTTCATTATGTTTAATGTATAATTATTATATGAGACTACTTAAAATAAATAGAGGTAGACTATTATATAGTGCATTTACTGCAGGTCAAGAATTATCTAATGAAAACTCAAAATGCTGGTTTTCTACACTAAATAAAGTATTTAAAGTACTTAAACTTGATACAAAAAATTTGACAAATAATAGTGTTTTTAAAAATAGTCTGATAAGATACTATAGTCAGCAATCTGACTTACAACTACAAAAAATCAAATCTGGAGCTGTGGACAGTAAACTGGTGCTTTTCAGTAATATTTTTGTTCCCTTCTATCTTCAAACCAATCTTACCAAAAATATAAAAAGTAAAATTACACAACTACTGTCAGTGCTCATTGTTTAAATATAGAAAGGGGTAGATATAATAAACCCAAAATTCCAAGAGAACAACGTTTTTGCAAATTTTGCACTGAAGTAGAGACTGAAGAACATTTTTTGATATCTTGTGATAAATATAAAGATATAAGGCAAACTTTTTTCCAATCTTATGGTTTAGATTTAAAAGATTTGGGTAATGATTATTTTTCAGTTTCGAAACTTTTAAATCCACAAAATATTACTGAATGTAATTATTTATACAAATTTATTAGAGATGCATTAGAAATAAGAAACAATTCTTAAAAATATGGGTACAACTGTATTATTTTTTTTATATATATATATATATATATATATATATATTACATATGAAACTTTGAAATGTTGTTTTGTATATTATTATATGATTTGTAATGGAGAACACTAATGTAATATTAGTTATCTTAATAAAGAATCTGAATCTGAATATATACAGAATTTACAAATTTCCACAAAGTTTTATGTTAAAAGGGGACATAATATACTGTCAGTATACTATAGCCAGGTTAAAAGTAAATATGTAAAATTCTTTAACCGTCCCCATAAAACACATTTGAAATTATAAACAAAAATATGAAAAATACACAAATAACACGGACACTACTTATAATAATGACACATAGTCTCAGCTTGAACTGATTGCTTCTGGTATCTGGTATCACTAAAGCTTAATGTTAATGTATGCCTCATCTCACAATCATTCTATACACCTGGAATAGCTCACCTATTGCTTATTGTGTCTAAGAAACAGGCCTCATGATGAAAACTTATTATTGACCAATTGACTATAAAGTCAGATGAGTCCTGTCAGATGGTCATGTATGTACATCTCACTATCATTCAATATACCAACTGTATTTTATACATTGCTTTTAATATATGAGAAACAGCTCTAATCATAAAAAATAATGTTGATCACTGAACCATGAAGCAAGGTCAAGGCTAAAGGAACCATGTCTGACAGACATGAAATACCCCCTTGCAATGTTGTTTGTACCATATATAGTTGTCCTATTACAATAATTAAAGATCTTTCAGCAGTCACTAAACCATGAAAATTAATTCAAGGAAAACAGAAGTATATTCCTAACAGACTTTTCAGACCATAAGGCATTTGTATAAAAGATATGGGTTATCCAGCTCTTCAACCTTCTGACATATATATATATATAGATTTATATAAATAGTTTACACTATTACTGGTGTCGCTACAGATGGATTAGCATCCATATGTCTCACATTCTGTAGCAATCACCCCACGGGACAAAAACTAGATGAGTTGGATGTCAACATCTTTGCTCCATCTAGAGAGACAGAAGGATTCTTATTCTCTAAGTTAATAAAAGGAGGTCATTTATTAATAAATGGTGAGGTCAATATCCATCGGCACAATGGAAAAAGCCAGGAAAAAACACAATTTCCATAAAATGAAAGGACAGAATTTCTGTGAAAAGTAGGTCATTAGTAATGAAACTCAAAATTAAACACTTTTAAATCAAAATTTAACTCATTATCTACAGGCATAAGGACATCTTTGCTAAATAGGTTACGATCCAGGATGGGGCTGGATTGTAACACTTGGCTAGGGAAGATGGCATAAGGAAAAAAAGCTGAACATAATTACTGGTACCTGTTGAATTTTGAAACAACAAAAAGAAGGAACATGGGTTATACTATATGCCTGGTCACAAAGTAGCAGGCATACACAAAAAGAAGCAGTAATAAATACCCTGTTCTTAACAATATATATATCCAAGGCAATAATAAAATAGTGATAGGGGAGATAATTCATATTTTCTTAATTTTGAAAACCTAAGACAAAAGCATTTCTATCTCACTGTAGATCAGATGTAGAATTGAGATTAAATTGATGACATAATTCAATTAAAACTTGTTTAATTAGATATATATTTTTATTGTGAAATAAGTTTATAAACAGTAAAACAAGAGTGCACACGCTGAAATGTCTCGCCTTCTTTACTAATCATTGATATTATGTTGATAGTCCTAAATATAAAGCTTTATTACAACTGTCACATAAACTTAACATTAACCAAGTAAACTAAACATTGACCAATGAACCATGAAAATGAGGTCAAGGTCAGATGAACCATGCTAGGCAGGCATGTACAGCTAACAATTCTTCCATACAACAAATAGAGTTGACCTATTGCTTATAGTTTAAGAAAAACAGACCAAAACACAAAAACTTAACACTGAGCAATGAACCTTGAAAATGAGGTCAAGGTCAAATAAAACCTGTGTGACTGCCAAATAGATCATAAAATATTTCCATACACCAAATATAGTTGAACTATTGCATACAGTATAAGAAAAACAGACCAAAACACAAAAACTTAACTATAACCACTGAACCATGAAAATGAGGTCAAGGTCAGATGACACCTGCCAGTTGGACATGTACACCTTACAGTCCTTCCATACACCGAATATACTAGACCTATTGCTTATAGTATCTGAGATATGGACTTGACCACCAAAACTTAACCTTGTTCATTGATCCATGAAATGAGGTCGAGGTCAAGTGAAAACTGTCTGATGGGCATGAGGACCTTGCAAGGTACGCACATACCAAATATAGTTGAACTATTGCACATAGTATTAGAAAAAAAGACCAAAACTCAAAAACTTAACTTTGACCACTGAACCATGAAAATGAGGTCAAGGTCAGATGACACCTGCCCGCTAGACATGTACACCTTACAATCATTCCATACACCAAATATAGTAGACCTATGGCATACAGTATAAGAAAAACAGACCAAAACACAAAAACTTAATTATAACCACTGAACCATGAAAATGAGGTCAAGGTCAGATGACACCTGCCAGTTGGACATGTACACCTTACAGTCCTTCCATACACCGAATATACTAGACCTATTGCTTATAGTATCTGAGATATGGACTTGACCACCAAAACTTAACCTTGTTCACTGATCCATGAAATGAGGTCGAGGTCAAGTGAAAACTGTCTGACGGGCATGAGGACCTTGCAAGGTACGCACATACCAAATATAGTTATCCTATTACTTATAATAAGAGAGAATCTAACATTACAAAAAATCTTAACTTTTTTTTCAAGTAGTCACTGAACCATGAAAATGAGGTCAAGGGCATTGGACATGTGACTGACGGAAACTTCGTAACATGAGGCATCCATATACAAAGTATGAAGCATCCAGACCTTCCACCTTCTAAAATATAAAGCTTTTAAGAAGTTAGCTAACGCCGCCGCCGCCGCCGGATCACTATCCCTATGTCGAGCTTTCTGCGACAAAAGTCGCAGGCTCGACAAAAAACTAATTGTGACAAGGGAGATAATAGACTATGGAACTTCTATAAGAGGAACACTATTGATATAAAAGGTCATATAAAACTGTGTGTTGTTTTTTTTTGTAAGGTTTAGCCATAAGATTGATACAAAAATGTATTTTGAAACAAAAGAAAACATTAAATAAATCAGGATTATCATTTTCACATCACAAATGTATATAAAATTTCCATGACTTACCTCCCCTTAACTGCTTTGTTTACATCATGTGGAACCTTTTGGAATTGTGTTGATATATTCATATCATTAGCTTTTTCCAACGGAGGCACATTCAAGATTTTGCCCTGTGATAAATTTTGCATTATATGGTAAAGAGGGAAAAGAACAGATAAACAAGAACTATGCCCAGAAAACAGATTAGTGAAAAATTTAAATAATAAAAAAAATAATGTAGATCCAACCTCAGACATAGAAATGTTATATTCTTTTCGATACGTTTGGACATTGTTTGAGATTTGTCACACTGTATGGCATAAGGTGTGATTCTGCTGCATTGGAGTTACTATTATGAATTTATTACTATTCTATACTATGTATGTTTCTTCTTGAATATGTGACATCATTCTGAAGAGTGATATCATGGAACAAAGCTGATGTTGTTTTCTTTTGCTGCCTTTATAATTATTGATGCTGAGAGGAAAATAAAAAAAAAATAATGGAAGTCTATTTTTAAAAGTAGTAGAAATTAATGCCAGTTTAAAGTTACTCTGAACAAGTATTTGATATTGTAATGTAACACTGAAGACTTTAATATATATTTATTTAAGAAATAACACAGAATAATATGAGTGAATTCATTTATTGATCACCAAACACTTGCACATTAAAGATTGCAATGCAGTCCATTTGTTAACAGTTTTAATTCATAATAACAAATACATAGTTATAAAGGTCAAAATTAATGATGTTGATTGACTCTGTACAATTATATTTGACAAACTTATCTTCAATTCAATACATTGTGTACTTCTTTATGTGTCAGTTTTTACTCTTAAATGTTATGAAGGTATTTCATGTTTTTTTTTATAAACTTGACTGACATATATTTATGATAAATTCATATTACTTGTGCTTCATTCAAAAACCCTAATCTCAGATATATATTATACAGTTCCCTTGATAATGAACATTTATATGTACTAAGTTAAAATGACCACAAACAAACCTTAAACCAAAACTTTATAACCTACCTTAAACCAAAACTTTTTAACCTTCCTTAAACTGAAATTTTAACTTATCACATTTCTATGTTAAGTGAACTGTGAAAACTGGGTTATAACCCTAATTTGACATATATGACCAAAAAGTACTCTTAACCAAATCTTTAACCTGATACAGGAGATACAAGGACCTGAAAACATAATGCTCCTTTACTATCGTAGGCGAGGCATAAAAATCAAACCCTAAATAATTACCTTATTACTCATGCATGAGGGGGGTCGGACCTTTGTCGGGACTCCGGGATTGGGTGTTTTTAGGCTTGGGATTTCGGGATTGATCCTTTCGGGATCCGGGAATTCTTTTTTCTTTTTTCTCCAACCCCCCCTCATGCATGCATTAAACATTATGATCTACTAATAAGTAGATTGAATAAATATATAACAACATTTTAAAAATTTTGTAAATAGAAAAATAATAACTTATTCAAATCGTTTGCAGTTGTAACGATAAGTTTTCATATAATATTTGATAATTATATATTAAATATCAATTAAAAAAATCTAATATCATTTATCAATCAAATTAGAACACTTGATAATTCTATACAGCAATATTCACTGTACCTGTTATGTATTCTAACTATAAACTGTAGGTTAAAAACAGTACTTAATAACATTTTTTATATACTCAAGTCATGGAAATCAGTACATAAAGTCTTCTAGGGAGAAGTCAATTTTCTTCTAAGGACAATAAGGAGAAAAGTAAGAGACATCAACAGGTACAAGGATTATTTTAAGAAGTAAAGAACAAGACTAAGAAACTACACATATAATAAGGGCTGTTCCATTAAAACATACATGGTACCCAGGGAAGGCACTTTAAAAATGAAGTAACCAACTATAGAGGCAATTTAGAACTTTTCTTTACATTTTCATTGTTCAAAATAATTGTAACACCCACCCATAGTTGCCATTTCAAAGTGCCTTCCCTGGGTCCCATGTATGTTTTTATGGAACAGCTCTAAGATAAATGAAAAAAGAATTTCCAGTATAAACCAAAACAGTTTCTTGATTGTTGGGGGTCTACTATAACATCTTTTGATTAATCCTATCAATCCTCAAGCAAAATACATTTAAGTAAGTGTCAAAACCTTGTGTACACTGAAATATCAAACAACTCAGTTTTATTATCAGACATGCATTCAAATAACTGGCCAATTCTTAAGCTGACAGGCTGATTAAAAATAACAAATGGACCAATCTTTATCATCAGTTTTCCTTAAAATCAGAATTTTCTCTATATATATTCAACTTTGGGACTTGACTTGCAAATGGTACAGTCTGTGACTTGGTCAGTGCCCTTGATAAAATTTCAGATATATAAATACATAAAGAAAACCAACATGCATTACACCAAATGTTATTAAACTTGCATTTTTAAATAAATAGATTGTACAACTATGTCATGATCACTCATGTTTTGTATATGTTAAAATATAGTGAACTTTTTCATTGTTAGAATTCTGGACTACTTTCTCTTTTTGGTCTACCAAGTAAATATCTGTCAACATTCAATAGCTGTTGCTGTGTTATACAATCTGTAAGTAAAAATCATCAAAATTATTCAAAAATTTAGGTGATGCAAAATTTATCAGACGGTCTATCTTTTTTATGAATTGTTCTTCGTAATCACAGAGACGAGGCACAGTATGATTCTCAAATATGATAAATAAAATGCATGATTGATGATGCAACAGAAAACTGTCTTACTATTGTCTATTGTACATGTTGTAAGTGCCTCTTTGTTAACACATCAAAACAGAAAATCTTACATTTGAACAATGTTTAGCATGGCTAAAGATGAATTTTCATTTCATACTCTGTTTGGAAGTGCAATTCAGGGCTTCTAATGCAACAAAATACTGATGAACAGTAATGAATTGGTAAGGGTTCCGTGGAACCCAGTGTCTCGCCTACGTTTGCTGTTAGTCGCAGGCTCAACAAAAATGGAGGAAATTATTAAAAATTTTCCTCAAGATACTATCTTTTGATTGTAAGAAGCTTCTATCCAAGTTTGATAAAAATCCAGGATGTTTTATGAATCTAATAAATGTTTTAAAAACTTTAACTGCAGACTGTACGTAATGTTAACTGGAAGAAAAAGTCCATTTATAAGTAATATACGGAAAAACAGGAAATATATTTTTTACAAAATTACCTTCTAGATACTAGCTTTTGATCATAAACAAGCTTCTGTCCAAGTTTGGTACAAATCCAGGATAGTTTAAGAAAGTTATTAAAATTTTAAAAACTTTAACCACAGAGTGAATGTTATGTTAATTGGCATAGAAACTGAGTCCATTTATAAGTTAAATACGGATAAACAGGATTTTTTTTTTACAAAATTTACTTCTGGATACTATCTTGTGATCATAAACAAGCTTCTGTCCAAGTTTGGTAGAAATCCAGGATAGTTTAAGACAGTTATTAAAATTTTAGAAACTTTAACCACAGAGTGAATATTTGTGGACGCTGCCGCCGATGGAATGTAGGATCGCTATGTCTGGTTTTTCCAACAAAAGTCGCAGGCTCGACAAAAATCATCAAATGTGTGTCTTTCATTTAGTATCCACTATATATGTAGGACTCTAAAGTGCGATTAGGGCGCTAAAATGCGATGGTCACACTAAAGTGCGATGGTCTACGCTAAAGTGTAATGATCTGGGCTATTCAATGGAATACGCTAAAGGTTGATGCTTCAATACAATGAAGTGCGTTTTTCCGCAAAAAAACGTTTGATAGCGAATGTATAGACGTTAACAACGTCACATGCCGTTTGTACAAACAAAAATGAACATGCCGGAAAACGAGATTGTTTGTCCAGATGAAGGGTTCTTATTAGACAATCTTAATTAATAATCGCATTCCTTATAAATAATCACAGAAAAGGAAACTGTTAAACTTGATTATGCGAAATATTAATATTCACAATACACGCTTTATTTAAGGGAACTGGAAAATATTTGTTGGGCTCAAAACGATTGACTTCTTAAGTATTTTTTGTAAAGACGGTACACAAATGTAACACGATATACTTGTATTGCGATATGATATTTCAATGCATTTTATACCTGTTTTATCATGGAAGAAATAATCTAAAACTAGTTTTTTTCATTCGTAAATTGGGATGTTAAATTAGTAGGTGACCCAATGATTTCTCTTCCTATCCAACATATCATCCTTTCCCAGTGGCAATCTCAATTTTCAGCCATTCATCTCAGATCTTTTACTTTGTAGGACCTACTGAGCAACATATTTATTGTTCATTAGATCTCAGTCGACCTTAATATTGCATGAAATACCTGCCACTGAACATTGAGTAAACAACAATTTATCAATCAACGAATTTAAAAAGATATTTCATGTATGCAAAATACAATGTGTATTTCATCATAGAAAATGAAAATAAAAATATAATATTTTCAAGTCATCAATAATGATTGCTTCAGCTCACATGTAGACAACAGAAATTAATTTTAGAATTCTCTTCCCTCGTTTTGCTGTTTTTCAAATCTTTATTTCAAACATTTCTCTAAAATTTTAGGCAATAAGTGGTTAACAAATTAATAATAAACATGATTAAGAAATAAACAAAAGGAATATGGATAATAACGTTTAAAAATTCTTTCCTCGCCTACCGAAACAATGCTTGGAATGAAAATTTCATCTGACATATATAATACTTTACAACACAAAGTAGTTCATAGAATCGGCTGCTCAGAGTTTTATTTATTTTTATTTGTACATGCATTGTTTTTATTTTTATTTTTATTGGCTGCCATTGTTTTGTTTATATAATTATTTGAGAGATTCTTTACAGTATTTATCAATTATAACATTAAACGGAAAACATATAGGAACACAGCAACAAACGAAAACCATTGCCTGAACTCCATTTTCTTTACACCATCGCACTTTAGCGTGTTATACCATCGCTCTTTAGCATGTCATATAATCGCGCTTATAAAACAAAGAACAATTGCACTTTAGCGCAGACCATCGCACTTTAGCGTGACCATCGCACTTAAGAGTACCATCACACTTTAGAGTCCTACATATATATGGTAGGAGATTTAAATGATATCATATTAAAGTTGAATGAATATTCAAAATTTTAAAATTTATCATGCAATATGTTTTGTTTTGTTTTGTTTTATTGTATACATTAACAGTTCAAACTCCATCAAAGTTGATCTTAGTTGACTTAGCCGTTTTTTTTAGGTTCTTTTGGGTCAAAAAGCTCCTTATGTATTCAAACATTTAAACATCCTGTGTTCCCAATTTAGGTAAATCCAGAAAAGTGCTTTGGACACACCAAACTAATAAAGTGTTATTTTCATTAGTTTAATCAATAATTAATTGAATGCCAACAATAAATGTATAATTTGACACTTTCAATTATTCTTAAACTGATGATAGGGAAGTTAATAAAAGTATCTTTTATCTTACATAACTTATTTTGTTAGAACCAGAATTTGGTAGTTGACTCATGGGTTAGAATTAGTTCATTAATAAGTCTGGGATTAGAGTGCATGATACCCCTATAACTCTGTAATAAGATATCATAAAAATGTGAAAATCCATAGGAAGCTTGTCACCATAGATTAGAAGTTAGAACCAAACATTTTGCAAAAATTTTAGAAACTACTATTTAACTTAAGAAATCATGAGACACATTCTTAATTGTAAAATTCTTTAAAACAATTAAGAACCACATGAAAAGGTCTCAAATAATTGAAAGAAAGCTTGTCAAACTGTGTGAAAAAAATGTAAAGATAGGTTTAACGATATTTGATTTGGTTTGGAAGTTTTAACAAAGATTTGGTTCGGAAGTTTGGCTGGACTTTAGAATTCTTACTACCAATAGGATATCACATCCTAATGTTAATGGTGTAAGATCACATTTATGCAAAGATTCAAGCATTGGCAGTTATTTCCATTTTTTTTTTAAATACAAGAGTGCACACGCTGAAATGTCTCGCCTACTATACTGAACATTGATTTTATGTTGATAGTCCAAAATATAAAGTTTTACAAGTATCACATTAACATTTATGATCCAAGAAAATGAGGTCAAGGTCAGATAAACCAAGCCGGAAATACATGTAAACCTTTAATACAATCATTCCATACACCGAATATAGATGACTTATTGCTTATAGTATAAAAGAAACAGACCAAGCAATGGAAATTTTATATTGAAAAATGAACCATGAAAATGAGGTCAAGGTCAGATGAACCCTGCCAGACAGACATGTACACCTTAAAATAATTCCATGCATCAAATATAGTTGACCTATTGCTTATTGTATCGAAGAAACAAAGTTAACCAGGAAAACTGAACATTGACCAATGAACCATGAAATTGAGGTGAAGGTCAGATGATACCTGCCAGACAGACATATACACCTTACAATCATTCCATACACCAAATACAGTTGACCTATTGCTTAAAGTTAAAGAAAAACAAACCAAAACACAAAAACTTAACATTAAGCAATGAAACATGAAAATGAGGTCAAGGTCAAATAAAACCTGCCAGACTGACATGTACATCGTAAAATATTCTCATACACCAAATATAGCTGACCTATTGCATACAGTATTAGAAAAAAACAGACCAAAACACAAATAAAACCTGCCAGACTGACATGTATATCTAAAATATTTCCATACACCAAATATTGTTGACCTATTGCATACAGTATTAGAAATAAAGACCAAAACACAAAAACTTAACCTATACCACTGAACCATGAAAATGAGGTCAAGGTCAGATGACACCTGCCAGTTGGACATGTACAACTTACAATCATTACATACACCAAATATAGTAGACCTTTTGCTTATAGTATCTGAGATATGGACTTGACCACGAAAACTTAACCTTGTTCACTGATCCATGAAATGAGATCGAGGTCAAGTGAAAACTGTCTGAAAGGCATGAGGACCTTGCAAGGTATTAACTTTTTTTCAAGTAGTCACTGAACCATGAAAATAAGGTCAAGGACAATGGAAATATGACAGAGAAACTTCATATCATAAGGCATCTATATACAAAGTATGAAGCATTCAGGTCTTCTACCTTCTGAAATATTAAGCTTTAAAGAAGTTAGTTAACGCTGCCGGATCACTATCCTTATGTCGAGCTTTCTGCAACAAAAGTCGCAGGCTCGACAATAAAAAACTCTGATTTAGAAAGATATGATGATGGTTCTTTGTATTATCATAAATTATTTTGTATTTGTATGTAGTATCATAGTTCATAATACAAATAATATGTACATGTATAGGAAATGACCTTTTTGGTGGTTGAACACAAAGAGCCCTGTTTATATACATGTACCTCTATTTTCAAATCCTAAATGGAAAAATGCTGTTGTTTATAAAGCCCTTCAATTTAGATATGATCCATGAAAAGTCATTGATCCATTGAAAAAAAAAAACTCTTAAAGGATATCAATTTAACACTGAAGTAAGATCTTTGAATATTGTTTTTATCAGTCAATGTTCTAACACTGATTTTGTTTTTGATATTTTAAAACCTAAACAAAATATGTATTGCTATACAGTTAAACTTATGGTCTTACATCCTGTCAATATAATGTAACTATATTTTGGCATTGCACAAGATCATGTCTTTTCCAGACTGTTTATGACCTCTCTAAACTAAGTGTGTACTGTTTGACACTTCAGTCTGAGAAAACATCATTTATTTATTAGTTGTTATTAGCTTTGTCCACTCTGTGTTTTTGTAAGATGTATTGCTGTTTTGTATCAATCTGATGAGTTCAGCCCTTTTCAACTGATTTTTTATAGTTTGTTCTTTTGTTGTACTGTTACACCACAGTCCAAGGTGAGGGGAGGGTTGGAGTGCCTTCAAACTAGTTAAACCCTGCTACATTCTGTATGTGCCTGTCCCAAGTCAGGAGCCTGTAATTCAGTGGTTGTCAGTTGGTTGGTGTATATTATATTTGTTTTTCGTTCACTATTTTGTACATAAATCAGACCGTTAGTTTTCTCGTTTGAATTGTTTCACATTTGCCATTTCGGGGCCTTTTATAGCTGACTATGTGGTATGGGTTTTACTCATTGTTGAAGGCCATACAGTGACCTATAGTTGTTAATTTCTGTGTCATTTGGTCTCTTGTGGAGAGTTGTCTCATTGGCAATCATACCACATCTTCTTATTTTTATATTTGAACTAGCATTCAGTGTATGTATGATAGGTTTTTGGGGATTTTTTTCCAAACTTCAGATATTTTGTTGCACTATTCTTGTTGTTAACAAGGCCCCTTAGTGCTACAACAATTACACTAAGCTTTCTCCCTGTATTGTTAATTAATAAAACCAGGGGATTTCATTAGCAAAATCCTTATACATTCATACTGGTATATTATGTGTTAGTTTTAATTTTCAGTAAACCTTTTGGTAGCACATCATATATACAAGGAAAAGGAAAATGGATCTTTGACCATCTTTTGTTTAGCTTTCAGTTTCGGATTTTAAAACTGAAAGTAGATTTGATCGAACAAGCGTGGTTTCTAATTTTTTGCATAAAAAGGTTCATATCATTGAATTTATTACGACTGTCTTTTAAATAATATTTCAGCATTCAAAACTATGTACGGTAGTATAGTTTACCTAAGATCCAGACTGGATTCACACATATCTTATCTGGCAAAAACTCATGTCCCAAGTAAATACTGGCTTTGTTTTGGCTATTTATAACCTGAATATAAAAGATTAATTTCATTAAAATACTGCCGTTTCAATTTATCAATATGAAAAAATAGTACAATAACATGTTTGTGCTAACAAATACAAACACACTGTTTTGTCACCTTTTGCTTATTTAGATGTTAATACATTCAGTTTTAGTTAAATTTTTCATTGTGACATTTCAGCAGCATACCACACATTTGACTGACCTGTTTTGAGATAAGAGTTTTATCAAGTATAACAAGAGGCTTCAAAGAGCTTGAATCTCTAATTTGGTAAAGGTATACCATATTGATCACAATCATAATTGGGGTACCTAGTTTAAAAAATGAGTCTGATGACCCCGCCTGCCAACCAAGATGGCTGACATGGCTAAAAAAAGAACATAGGGGTAAAATGCAAGCTTTGTCTTTTTTTGAAAACCGTTATGAATAGAGAAAATCTGACGGGGCATAAACGTTCAGAATGTTGAGCTCTACCAATTGTCTTTATAAGTCAAAACTATCAGGGGACTTCTTATTAACATAAAATCAGGAAAAAGATTATTAACAAAATTTTCCATTCATTTTTGTTGAGCCTGCGACTTTAGTCGCAAAAGCGAGTCATAGCGATCCTACATTCCGTGTCAGCATCGTTGTCAGCATCGTCGTCAGCGGCGTCCACAAATATTCACTCTGTGGTTAAAGTTTTTGAAATTTTAATAACTTTCTGAAACTATCCTGGATTTCTACCAAACTTGGACAGAAGCTTGTTTATGATCATAAGATAGTATCCAGAAGTAAATTTTGGGGAAAAAAAATCCTGCTTCTCCGTATTTTACTTATAAATGGACTTAGTTTTTCTTCCAGTAAACATTACGTAGTTTTTCTGCCAGTTAACATTACATTCACTCTGTGATCAAAACCTAGTATCTAGAAGGTAATTTTGTAAAAAATGTATTTCCTGTTTTTCCGTATATTACTTATAAATGGACTTGGTTTTTCTTCCAGTAAACATTACGTACAGTCTGTAATTAAAGTTTTTAAAACATGTATTAGATTCATAAACCATTCTGGATTTTTTACCAATCTTGGACAGAAGCTTTTTACAATCAAAAGATAGTATCTGTAGGAAAATTTTTAATAATTTTTTCCCCATTTTTGTTGAGCCTGTGACTAGCAGCAAAAGTAGGTGAGACACTGGGTTCCATGGAACCCTTATGAATTTTCATAGATATTGTTTGCTGTAAACTTTTATTGTTTAAAGTTTCCATCTATCTATAATAGTTTTCAAAATAAAAGGAAAAAAAGCAAATTTTTGTCACTAAAATAATCATTTGAAGGCAATAACTCCTATAACAAGTTGATTAATGGTTTCTGTCATATTGGCATTTTTGTAGATCTTGTATTGCAGATTTTTCTTGCTGTAAACAGTTTCAAGTTTATAAACAGAATTAATAAAATATGTCAAAAATAGTCATTTATAGGCAATAACTCCTACATGTATAAGGATTCATCTGATAATTTGGTAATGCATTTTAGGTGTAATACCACCATTGATTTTCCCCTATTAGTCTTTGTTAAATGTGCACTTTCAAAAAATTGTGCAGAATTTATCTTTGTTTCAAATAAAGAAATACTTGGCATGAGTAAAGTTTTATCCTCTCTAGTAAAAAAACCATCACTGGAAGTTAACCAATCAAATTTTCCCACTTTTTTAACCTGTGTACAAGCTTTAGTAACCATGTAACCTCAAGTTTCCAAAATATTCTATAGAAACCCCAAATAAAAAAATTATGGTGCTTTGAAATACCCAAAATATATGTTTATGACCCAGAAATGTTTTACTGCAATGAAATGTAGGATCAATTACCTACAATTGTCAAATTCAAGGGAATATTTTTTTCGACCTATTTTCGTATGCAACTGGATGTGACGTACTATGATTTGGTGGTATTACACCTTTACCCATGTTCTATTTACAGCCATATTTGTTCCCTCCGATCAATCATGAGAAGTTTTATTTAAACTGGTTCAGAGGAGAAGATCTTTGTTTAAGATGACAGATGACAAACAAAGGACAACAGATGCATTACAGCTCTTCTATAAAAGCATGCAAAGCAAACTTTTGATCAACTTGCTTGCTATGTTTGCTTGGATGTTTGCAAACAATAGGTAGGCGGAGTTTCAGTCTTTGTATATACTGGAATTTGATTAGACAATAAAAATTGAAATGAAGTTAATGTTTATTGTCCAATCAAATTCCAGTATATAGTAAACAGACTGGAACAGACTACCTACCTTTTGTTTACAAACATCCATAAAACATAGCAAGCAAGTTGATCAAAGGTTTGCTTTGCATGCTTTTAAAGAAGAGCTGTAATTAGAGCAAAAGCTTATACTGGCCTTTGGCCTAATGAACTTAAAAGAGATCATTTATTAGCAAACTAGCAATTTTTAAAATACTGAATGATTAGTATTTTTATATATCTTTGGTTTTTGGTGTTTTTTCTTGTAATAAAAATATTATCAAAAGTATGTTTGTAGAGTTTATATCATGCCCATTTCAGGCATGTTTTATAACTTCTTTAATAATTTAATTTTGACATAATATGAAACAATTATAAGTAATTATACAATCAAGCACTGACAATAATGAATACTAACCCTAGCACCACATAATTTCAAGAGATTGAGAAGGTGATGTCTTGGAGGACTTGTTTTCTGTGCCAGATAAATTGTACCCACTTCATGTAAGGACAGGGATCTATAATTTTCTTTGTGGAGATATCTGCCTTCTCTTGTGACCTGAAAATCATTTTTAAATCTTAAATTAACATCTCTTCATATTTTTCAATTGTTGAATTTTTGGTGTTTGAAAATGTGCCATTCAAATTTGGGTAAAACACAAACTGTACACAGTCAGACAATAATTTATTAAATATTATAGTTCCATTTTGCAAGATGGAATACACATACAATATATTTTTTTTATTAGCAAGTAACAAACTTTGGCAGAATAATATCAACAAACATTTTAATTTTAATGACATTTACATTTTATTCAACATTCTAGTAACTGTTCAAGTTTACTTCCATACGTGTATACTTTTACTTTCTATTTATACTCACCATTGTTACATTGTGACATAATTTATACCTTCCCAATTTTGTACTTCAGCACAATTTTCTGTATTGTTTTTTATCCTGATGACGCACCAAAACATGTCAATCTCATTAAAATTACTGCAGCAATCCCTAAAGTGTTGTTGTTGTAACTACTTTCACATTTTGTGTTTTTTATCGTAACAACCCTGCATACTCCAGGTATCTACTTTTAGGGATTCTATCGTGTTGAAGATTTACCAGGTGTTGGTTCACTGTCATTGTAATTAAAATATTCTGTTTCAAGGTATGAATTCAATTTGAAAAAGATTTCCTTTATGGTGACAAAAATAATATTTCTTTACAAGAGAATGGCTAATGCTATCATACCCCTTAAACAATTGAGTCATAACATAGATGTGTTATTGTTATAATCAGACTAATGGATCTTCAAAGCTGGCATGTGAAATATATCAATTTACCTTTGCAACTGGAAAATAATCAGTTGCTTCAAAATTTTCCTCTGGTAACCATGTTTGTGCTTCTAATGATGATAACACCTGAAAAAAGATACCAGTACATCTTCATTTCTGTGATGATTTAAACTGATTCTTTATTTATAGTCTTATTCTAATTGTCAACAAAATTAAAACTGACAGGATCTTGTATGAGTTTTTATTAAACAAGACTCCACACTTATAAATTGTTGGGACTTGTCAGAAAGATTTGATAAATTTAATCATCTTTAAATGTGCTTCAAATTCATTGATAAACTAAGAAGCAGTATTCCCATATCTTAAATGATTGGTATCTAAACAAAGAGAAATGTGAATGTGTCTTACCCATTGCTTATGTACAATCCAAATCCCCCTCATTATACCATATAAAACATTTAATGTTCTCCGAGGTCCACCACATATCAAGTGTGTTGATGTTTCTGTTACATTGTCAGAGATCACAAATTGTCCTAATTTCTTCACAACAGATATTATAAGATCCTGTTCTCTGGAAGAAAAACAATTTTATTATTTTTTTCAAATTATAGAAGTAGTGACATTTGACTTTTACTCCTGTTTTCTATAGTTATTTATTTTATAAATATGACTTGAGCAGAAATTCTGAGGATTGTCATATACATCAAACATTTAACATAGAGATGATTGTTTTATAAATGAAAGTAAGACATATACTATTTATGGTGTTATATAAATGATGTTCCATTTTGCAGCTGGTCAGCAGGAAAATTTTCAAAATGAAGAAAAGGTCAAAATATGTTTAAAGCTGAATTTCATTTAATAAAAAAATATTTTTGTCTACAAAATATTAAAAGGTGAGAGTGAATGTTTGGACAAAAATATAATTCACTGAAATTATAACAGGTTGATCTCCATCCTTCAACATTAGAATAAAAGAAATAGTCTCTTATGTAAGGTTAGGAAAAGTGAAATTAGAATATAATTTTGAAAATAAACATCCCTTTGATAATTGTTTTCAAGATTGGTTTTAATTTGCATTGGGATTTAAGCAGATAATTTATTAAAAATTCTATAACACTGAATAAGAGGCAGCTGATGACAGAGGTCAAGTGACCACAAGAGCTAACAAAAGTTATGTACTCAGCATGCAGACTGGTCATCACAAGAGATGGTCTGGTAGGAGGACTTCGTCTATATATCTTCTTTGGTAGACTATTATCACTGCTGTCAGTGTCTGATTTTCTGTAAGAAGATGTTGATATGGGCCTTGGTCTTCTCATGTGTTTAATCCCTCTTGCTAAGTTAAACTCATCTATACTTGGCCTGGGTACAACTCTGCCAGAAAGAGAACTAAGTATTGAGTCACCATATGCCAAAGACATTGAATTATCATTTTGTGTAGCTGTACTAGAATTGATTGTTGTTTCTTGTAATGTCAATTCATCTGGCATTACAATATTGTTACTACTAGCTGTATTGGTATGAATTTCTTGACTGTCAGACTTTTTCTCTGAAAGACTTCCTTTACGAGGTTGTTTCCTTTTTGGTGATTGATTAGGAAACAGTGCAGAAATATTAGATTCTAACCCACTACAAGATGACCATTGACGTTTCCTTGTAGGTGTATAAGCATCTGGTGTTTTTGACAGCAGTGGTAAATCTGGATCCAAATCAGATAAAGGAAGCAATTTTTTCTTACTGTTAGTTCTTGGGGGTCCCTTCTTTCGAACTGAATGACTGGATGTATTGTTGATGTCTATACTTGAAGAAACTTGAACTAAAGACTGTCCATTAACTGAATCAACTGATAATACATTTTTGGATGTTGATATCTTTTTGTCTTCAGACTTATCTACAGAACTTCCATTTTCTATTGCAGCATTATTGAGTAATTTCTTGCTGGTCACCATAGATTTACGTCTGGTATTAACTGATTTTCTTTTCTGTGACACATTTTTATTATCTGCATTATTATTAATATTTTCCACGGAAGAATTATCAGCTTGTTTTGCTACAGGAGACAATTCATTTATTTTTCCTTTCAAACTTTTTGATAAAGGCTGTCTTATCAATATCGGAATTTCATCCTTTCCCAAAACTTTGTCCACAGTTTTAGATGGTGTAAAAGTAGCAACAGATTTTCTCCTGTTTGATGTCCTTTTGGGTTTCACTTCATCGTCAACAAACTTTACAACGGCCACAGATTTCCTACGTTTTTTAGATTTGGGAGATTTTTTTTCTGCATTAAGACCAGAAGTTAATGCTGACAAATGACTAGGTTTATTATAAGATGGACTAGATACTGGTTTATCTAATGAGGTAGTTGGTATTGGTGATTCAGGCATATTGTCTATACATTTTTTGATTTCATCATTTAAACCATCCATTAGATGATCAACATCATTGGATTCAAAGCTGACATTTTGAACTCCAGCTGAAAAAAAAACCCAGAAAATTAATTGCATTAATTCATTTATCATATAACATTAACACTGCAAATTTAAATTTCAAAGTTTTGAATGTACCATAATATGTTTAATTTGTTTTGTTTATCATAAGTTGTGATTTTGACCATGTGTATATAGTGGTACATGTACCTTGTAATTTATTAATTCATGTTCTTGCTTTATAGTTAGTTAACCAACAAATTCTGAAATGCATTTAACTGTGCCGTAATATAAAACTTATTTGGTTCTTATGAGTTTCCATCAAAGATGGATTGCATGATAATAAACCTACTAAATAATCTTCTCTGTAATGGCTCTTCCTCCTCATTATCTCTCTCGGGAGTATCTGTAATAATCATTCAAAGAAAATAAATCTTCAAAATAATATCTAATGTCTCAGGAAAGACAAAAATAAGAATATTGATCATTATTTGAGTTGCACAATATAATTTTCAAACTCTCCAACTCCTAATATATTAATACAAAGAATGTACTGAAAATTCAAAACATTTTGAAAAATTCCGACCAAATAGGTGTCACAAAAATTAACTCGCATTTAAATTTTGATAGCATTATTTATACACAGTTTTTCCTCAAATCACAATAATTAAACTCACATTTCTGTTCATTGTTGAGCAATTGCAATAATAAATGCATGCAATAATTTCTGAATTTACAGTTATCTGAAAATAAACTAATATCATACCTGACTCCTTTGCCATTATTTCCTTCATCTTTTCTCTCATACTTGGTGGTGTGTCAGGAATCAACAGTCTTATTGGAGTATTGATGTCAATCTGTAATAAAATATTGTTATAATATCCATTTCTATTATTGGATAAATATTTTAAAATCTTTTTCCCAAGAAATTGTGATTAATACTAAATGTATTTTATTTAAACATTTAATAAACTGAATTTGTAAAACTTATTATACAGAATGTTTTAAAATGAAATTAACTTAAAATTCACAATTGTATTAAGACTGCCTTCTTTGTTCATGTGTTGTTGTCAGTCATCTCTCTTTATATAAAAGTGTTCTGATATTTTGATGAATATATAGTATAAAGATCAGGAAAGCAAGATTTTACAGCTGGAATATTTGAGCGCGTACTTCATGCATAACGTTAAACTTGCTTTTTTGATAGGCAAACCCTAGTTCTTTTATTAGCAATCATTTATATAGAAACAAACTAACTGAAATAAAGAAGTTATAGATTCATCCACAAAGAAATTGTCAAGACTTGGGCTGCTTTAGAGTTTCAGTGTTGATTGAGTTGTTGGGGTGTTTACCTATATCAATTAAATTATAGGCAGAGTTCCTTTACCAATTATCTTCAATTAAGAAGAATTTAGTAATAACATTTACATGTGTTCTATAGCTTGTTTCTGTAAGCAGTACTCTACCAAATAAGCAGACTTTGGTGGAATATGTAATACATAGTGGAGCTCTTGGTTGTGTTTCCTAACCAGTATTCTACCAAGGTATGAGGAATTTTGTAAAATATCTAATAAAAAATTGTGAGGGTTCCGCGGAACCCAGTGTCTCGCCTACTTTAGCTGCTAGTCACAGGCTCAACAAAAATGGGGAAAAAATCATTAAAAATTTTCTTATAGATACTATCTTTTGATTGTAAGAAGCTTCTGACCAAGTTTGGTACAAATCCATGATAGTTTAAGAGAGTTATTCAAATTTTAAAAACTTTAACCACAGAGTGAATGTAATGTTAACTGGCAGAAAAACTAAGTCCTTTTATAAGTAATATACGGAAAAACAGGAAATATATTTTTACAAAATTTCCTTCTAGATACTAGCTTCTGATCATAAACAAGCTTCTGTCCAAGTTTGGAACAAATCCAGGATAGTTTAAGAAAGTTATTAAAATTTAAAAAACTTTAACCACAGAGTGAATGTAATGTTAACTGGCAGAAAAACTAAGTCCATTTATAAGTAAAATATGGAAAAACAGGATTTTTTTTTACCAAATTTACTTCTGGATACTATCTTATGATCATAAACAAGCTTCTGTCCAAGTTTGGTAGAAATCCAGGATAGTTTAAGAAAGTTATTAAAATTTCAAAAACAGAGTGACAAAAGTCGCAGGCTCGACAAAAACTGGAGTTCTTGGTTGCGTTTCTTGAACCAGTATTTTACCATGGTTACAAGAATTTTGAGGTATATTTGATACAGACTGGAGTTCTTGGTTGCGTTTCTTGAGCCAATATTCTACCAAGGTTAGGAGAATTTTGTGGAATATTAAATACAAACTGGAGTTCTCGGTTGTGTTTCTTGAACCATTATTCTACCAAGGTGAAGGGTATTTAATACATACTGGAGTTCTTGGTTGGGTTTCCTGAACTAGTATTCTACCAAGGTTAGGAGAATTTTGTGGTGTACATTCAGAGGACTGTAATTTCTCCACCAACTGTCTTTTTCTTTTGTTGCATCTTTCAGCACTGTTTGCCACTTCCTCTTCAAAGTTACTAGGCTGCATTGACTTAGCTTTCTAAAGAGCAAAGGAAAAATTATTTACTAATGTTATATCATATTCAATGTTGAAAATTCTGTAACAATTAGGATTAGCATCTTCATTATATATTCTGTCTGTAATGTTTCATAATTTGTCTAACCTACTTGAATGAAATTAAATTATATATGAGTGTTTAAAAAAAAAGACACTTTACATATAATTAACTTATTATAGACAGGATTGATCATGAAATATTAACCATATAATTTGATATTAATTTCAAGACTGAAGTATACCCTCACATAAGACATGGATACAGAAATTTGAAGAAATGCGAATGATTTTCCACACGTGAAGCAGGATCTGCATACCGGAGCACCTGAGATCACCCCGAGTTTTTGGTGGAGTTTGTGTTGCTTAGTCATTAGTTTTCTATGTTGTGTTTTGTATACTGTTGTTTGTCTTTTGGTCTTTTTCTTTTTTTACCATGGCGTTGTCAGTTTATTTTCAACTTATGAGTTTGAATGTCCCTTTGGTATCTTCTGCCTCTCTTTTGCACATTATCTTCTGTCTGTATCAAAGATGCATATAATGTGCCAAGGGAATATAATGTATATGATTACATATTCTGTATTCATTTAACTTGTGTGTTGTGTTGGAAATTGCAATGCAGAAATATATGGATGAGAAAACCCCTGTACCCTTAATGGGGGATTTACTTACTTTTTTCTTCTGTAGACATAACAATAAGCTGCTTGTTAGTTTTTAATTCAAAGATGTTTAAAAACTATCAGACTGTTTTCAGTGACACATACTAGTAATCAAGTCAGAACAGTATGACCTTTGTATGGATGAAATATTGATCGGTTTAGTTTTTGGTGCTTGATTTATAATGTAAGAAAGATGGTAATAAAGTTTGATATACTGTAATGTAATTGAGTGAAGTGTATAAATATTGGAAGGAAAAGTTATAGTTTATTCAATAGATAGATTTTCACTCTGTTCTTGATAGATTTAAGCAGAATATTTTTAGCTAAATCTTCCAGTTTTCAAACACTGTGTTTTCCATTGCACAAGGCAACTCATTTTCAATGGAACTTTTGATACAGATATATTGTTTCTGTGTAAATTTAATGATTTAAAACTGTATATGTTCAGGTTAATAAATTATGCACACAAAAATCTCTATTTTACCTTCAGTTTTGCCAAAAAAAGAGGTGTTCCTTTGTTTGTGGTAGGAAGTACAGCTGGGTAAAGTCTTTCAGATACATGTTCTTGATACTGTTTGCAACTGTAATATACAACATATCACAATTAATCCTTACTGGATATATTTCGTCAAACATCAATCACCCTTGTCATGGGTTATGCCATATATCTTAATGGTTTTTTGTTATTCATATACCTATATGGAGTTATTTTCTTTCAGAACGATAGGTCATACTTTTGAAGAATCAACCAGGTAATTTTAACCTCCTAAACTAAAACGTCTCATTCTAGCATTCAAAGGTAGCAGGATGTACAATATTTCCATTTTGCAGCTGTTTTATGATTCTTATCTGTCTACCATAATAAAAACAGGATAAAGAAATGAGACAGCTACCCAGCTTATTATCAATGTAACTTACACTTATAAACCTCGTACACTAACTAATGTAGTCTGACGTAGGTTTTCTGTTCTATTAGACTATCCTTAATACTGACATATGATGATAATTTTAGTAAGTTAGTTTGTTTTTATTTCCTGTCTACCCACCAGCCTAGATAACAGAAATCAACTGTAGCTTTTAGTTTTGTTCTTATTTTTACCTGTCTACCCAGAGAACTGACACCAGATGACATTTATTTTTAGCAGCTTTGGTCTTAGTTCTCTTGCTTCCTTCTTTGAAGATAACATGGGTGACATCCTCTGTGAATTTCTTTGTTACTGCGGCTCCTAACTGTTCTAATTCTTTACGGATTGCGTCACTTCTGTTGTCATTAGTAGATCTCACTTCTACATAGGCTATTACATCTGAAATATATCATGTTTTATAACTGTATTATAAATAATCATTCCCCAATGATATCTTCCAAATGTTTTGTCCCATCCTTCAATCTTTACCATGGCCATCATATAATTGTTTACCAGTACACATTCTTATTGATAATATGGTAATGCCCAATTATATACAAAATGTACTTAGTACTTATGCCACTAATATAATAATGTCATTTCATATACCATTACTTAATTATACCATTGGCATTGACAAAACAATAAATTATTAGAATGTTTGGAACCTTATTCTGCCTGATTTAAATAACATACTTTTCAATACCCTGTTATCCAGCATTTGAGTAGCAGGTAGACCATCATCATCATCATCATCAATGTCATTAGCTGTAATGAGTGATGCAGCTGGGGGTGTGTCCACTGACAATGGCATGAGTACTTCACTGTTAACAAAAGGAGAGGCCTCTGGTGTTCTAAGCTCAGTTGTTTGTGTGTTTGCTCTGCTTAATTTACGACTATTTGAACCAATGGTAAAAATATCACTTGTAAATGTCACAGGAGATGATGTATTATAATTTTCAGAATTAAGAACCGTTGTTGATAATGGCAAGATAGAAATGTCAGTAGATGATGCATCACTTTTGTTACAGAGTGAACTGCTAGTAATGACCTGAACTGTGGAAGTTTTATCATTTGAGACATAGTTAGTATCCACTTGTTTGTCACTGGTTATTGATGAAGGCGTTACAGATTTCCTCCTACTAACTGATGACTTTCTTGTCAGTTTACTGTTTGATGTGCTTCTCTGTGAAAATATTAAATAATATACAGGCTAGGTAAAATTATGAGAAATTGATATTATAATCACATACGGAACAAGTAAATGCATAGTTTGCAAACCTTTTGAGTATCATTTGCTTGTTTTAAACACACGTCAAGGCCATATATCAAATGTAAGATTGATTGAGTGTTGGTTGCTTAACATCCAGTGGCAAATATTCCATGCAAGATTAGAACAAATTACCAATAAATACAATAGGTACAAATGGTTGAAGGTCTGGGTATTTTGGACTGCCAAAGGAAAATGAGGGTATAATGGATAGGGACAGAAATTTTGCCTTGCAACAGGCCAGCTACGGACCACTCAGAAATTTTGCCTTGCAACAGACCAGCTACGGACCACTCAGAAATTTTGCCTTGCAACAGGCCAGCTACAGACCACTCAGAAATTTTGCCTTGCAACAGACCAGCTACAGACCACTCAGAAATTTTGCCTTGCAACAGGCCAGCTACGGACCACTCATAGAGTTGTTTCAAGGGTTCTTAACATGCGGAGAGCATGGCACTCTCTTTAAACGAGGCAACGGAATTAATGTCCCAATTCTGATGGGACGTTGGCCGTGGCTGCATAGTTTTACAGCCAAACAGATGCCCCACTCTAGCACTCTTGGGGCAGGATTGGAATGTGCAGAGAGCATGGCACACTCTTTACACGAGGCAACAGAATTAATGTCACCATTCTGACAGGACATGGCTGCATACTTGTACATCCCACACAGCCAAATGGATGCCCACTTTGGCAAGGGTTTTACTGCCAGTCAGAGGATATACGCCCTTGGCTGAATATACCTTGGGCCGAAATGGTTTTGGGTGTGTCGTTCTGGCCCATATTTCGATTCGACCCCTATATGAAAAAATACTTCCAAGGGATAAAAGTGATATATATATATATGATCGTACATAATTGGAAGAGGATAACTATAAAAAATAAATATATCCCGGAACATAAAAAAAATACAATTTTTACCTTTTTCATGTTTAAGTGTATGCTAAGAGTAAAATTTGAATCATCTATTTAAAATAATATCTAATTTCTACGTTTGATCGTGTAAACCGTTGTGGAATGTATATTTTTTGTCATATTTCGTTCTTTTTCTTCATTCAAAATCGAAAATGCCGCTCCAAAAATAATAAGAGAGTATATTTCGGAAAAGGAGCACTGTTTCCGGAATTTAAATTACGATTTTCATGAAATCTATTGATCAGTGGGACGCATATTGGGGTGTAACGGTTAAAGCTATAATGCAGACATAAAACTATATACTTTAAGACAAAAGTCATGTTGATTTGACTCCACTATGCATGAGTATCCCTCTAATTGATTGATCGATTGCTTGAATGGTTGAAGTTGATTGTTTGCTTAAACTGACACAGTGGCAAATATTTCACACAATTGCAGACTGGAAATAACATGGAATATAAATGTATATTGCTCCAACCAAAGAATCAAATAAAGAAAAAAATTGTATAAAACTCACGATTCAAAATTTTGCGCATTAGTTACACAGACACACACATATAAAAATTAATATATAATCAGTAGGCTCACCTAGAAAATTTATCAGAACACAATCTTAAGAACCTAATGTTAGATAGGCAAGTCACATACATGTGAGGATATTTTTAAAGTTTGTAGATGTCTTTAATTATGAGATTTAAAAAAATAAAATTGATAGACAGTTTATAAAAAGACTGTTCATGTATATTGCTTTATTAGACCTATATAAGAATATGGGAATGTAATTTCGGACAATTGTATCGAAAAGAAAAACCTAGTAGTATTTTATAAGGAATAAGACAGAGATTCTCTCCAGAACAGGCAATAGAAAAACACATTATTATTTGTTCATTAAGCTATTTCTTGATATATATCCAATACATTTCTGCAGATGTTTCGTCGTAAGCAAACACTTATGTCCAGTATGGTATGCGAAATACGAGAGAATTTTCAACTCCACGGTTTCGAATCACAGCCTATGACAATAGCTTTATCCCACATAATCTTGAAAAGAGGAATTTATTTGATGGAAAATAAAAATTATTGCCCACTTTACAAGATTCAAACGAGAGCTGGATGAGGCCGGATAATAATCCCTGTGCAGTTATTTTTTTATTGATACACGAAAACGTAATATTATTCACTACAAGTTTAGAAATGACGCTAGTGATCTAAAACATCACATTTTCTGTTGTTATTTGTCAGACAGCTCTAGGTCGGTACCTGTGCAGACTAGGTACAATTTTCCGCGGCAATTTCTTAAATGAATGTATTCTATCTATATATTCATCAGAATTAAGAGTTCTTCTTTCGAAAACTGATCCCAGTCTTGATGTCTTATATGGTTGCTCAGATTTAAAAATTGACAGTACAGAAATATTTTAAAACATATATGTCACAATCACATATACAACAAACTGGAAAATATTTATAATATCTGATGTAATAATATAACCTGGTTAAATTTCGTTAACCTATAACAACAGTGTATTTTTACCACTTAGTGATTGTCTATAACACTATTTTTTAAACAAATACAAATCTAACATTTATTCAGAAAATACCATATTGTGTTATCATTTGTTTGCATATATAAGTTTTTTCTGCGGTTATCTTTACCCTTTCCATTAGTACTTTGACGTGTAGATTAAATTGCTAGGTTAGTCAGTGAAAACAAGTGTCCATTATCTGCTTATAAACCGCTGGTGAAAAAATTGGAATTCAAATGTTTCACAGGAAGATTTAATGATTTTTTAAACTGTTATTTTCTTCACTTTATTATTTTCTTTTTAAATATGCCTGACTTATGTAATCGCAAGTGCACAGTATAATTTCAAAATTCTCTGTTTCTTCTTTGGATCATGCTTATGTTATAAAATGTTAAACTGGGGCTAATTTGTAGAATTACTGATTTTTATTTTATTTGTATTACTATATTTTGGACAGATTTAAATTACACGAATGTATAGAATGGTCCGAACGGTAAAAAAAAATCCCTCTCATTTCTGTGTATTTTTTAAAACTAAAATATCAAAATATGCATGCATGTAATTTTAAAATTATTGAATTACAAAGAAAAACAAATGTACGAATGGATACTGCCGGTGGTGCCATTTTATACTTGGTTAAAACCCTAAAAAATTGAACTAGTAATTCGGACTTGTAATTGAAACTCCTCAAAATTGTATAATCCTGATTAGTAACCAAGAAATATTTTAAAACCAAACAAAATTGTTTTAATTGAAATTGCCAAAAATATGTAAAATGTGTAAAATTTAATTTTATGTATTTAACGTTCATTAGGTTTGTGTCATTTAAATTTCAATTACTTGTTTTGAAACTATATCATTACGGTTTCAAATTTCGAATTGAGCAAAAACAATTACATGATATTAAATTGTGTATTTTATGATAGGTTTATACGCGGTAATCCGTTTGTTGTTTCAGTAATTAACAGTAAAAGAATTGATAATCGCGTGATTATTACGGTTACTCGGTGTACCCGATAGGCATTTCTCTAAATAATCACGTGACTGAAGTCAAAATGAACTCAACATGAGATGAGTTGATATTGTCAGCAAAAAATGCCTTTTATATTTTAGTGCTAACGTTGTTGATTTATTTTAAAGTGTTGTTTTAACTGTTATTGTTTTATCAACATGTCTGGTGCTATAGACGGCGATGCTTATACAGCTAGTTTCTACAGAAATTCTTATCAACAACCATCTGTTGAGATACCACCATATAATATGCATGGATGTAATGATTTTAGTATGCTTCAGGAAATGTATAAACCGGAACTTTATATTCCATCGACAAATATATTGACCGAAAGGAATATCAACAGTAGACTGAATCAAGAGAGATTAGTGGAGTCTCCGTGTGATGCTTCTCAGGAAAACTCGACTAAACCGTCTTCGATTGAGGTATGTGAGGATGAAAACTTAATAGCTCAAACTAAAGGCAACAGAAAACGTAAACGACCTATTCCAAAAGGCAAACCTCCATACAGTTACATAGCTCTGATAAGTATGGCCATCTGTAACGGTCCCGAGAGAAGACTAACACTAAATGATATTTATAAATTCATAACCGACCGCTATGCATACTACCGTGACCAAGAAAACCAGAAAGGATGGAAAGGATCTATAAGACACAATCTTGCCTTGAACGAATGCTTTGTGAAACTGCCAAGAAAACCAGGACAAAAGGGTCATGAATGGGCAATTGATCCGGACTATGAAGATATGTTCGACCATGGAAGTTTTTTACGTCGACGTTACCGTTTCAAAGAAGGTGCCGGTGGTAAACAAAAGATTCGCCACGTGTCTGCGCCAGAAGGTGTTTGGTATCCTCGAAATGTTGAAGTGAAGCCTTTGATTGGACATATTGGACACATACCAAACATTACAACCCCGGATAATAGGAACTCTCATAACAATGTGTGGAACCCGTTCAAATCCCCAAGCGATTCCAATAGTGCATCGCCGTTCGATAGTCCAGGAACAGAATCTGTTTCTCCAGCTAGTCAGCCGTCGAGAGAAGTCTCCAGCAACAGTAATTCGCCAGATAATCAACAAAGTCAAAACAGCTGTTTTTGGTACGGACAAGGTTTTCCACCATTATCAGGAATTATTCCGAATGCTCATTTTCCTAAGACCGATACTTCGTTTCCAGGACATAACTTTATGGGACCAAATGTGTGCAAGCCTCAACCATTTATGTTCAATCCCATGGCACACAATCAAATGTACATCATGAATTCGTCAGCTGGATCTCAAGTGTGGTCACCATGAGGAGTATTACGCAGACTGCTTTATAACATTTGGTGCTATATTGATATTTTATTGTTTTAGATATTTTAAAATCATTTGAATATTTTAAATCAGTTGTAAATATGTTGATTTTATAAACACGATAATTGGATTTATTATCAACCGATGTTTTTTTTATTTATTCCTTACTAATTCCACAAATAATGTTTTTAGTAATATATACCTTCGGTGCATGTTATAGGGATGTTGCTGGAATTTGGTTAAGCTTTTATTATTTGGTCATTTTTTTCTAAATAATCGAGTCCACATGTGTCATTAAGCTTAAACCATTAAAGTTACTTGACACTTACTATTTACCTTCTTATGAGATGTGGGATATACGTAAATGAGACAACAACACAACGACACAAATGATGATTGTTACTTACGTATGTTTATGCACCATTTTGTTTTGTATGATGGTAGTGATATGTTTCACTTTCAAAGTGTTTGGGTCTAGAACATACATGTATTGGAACCAGATCAATACCTTAGTACGTGGATAAATCAGCATCTTCCACAGGCCTGTCTGTGATAGCAGGGAGCGTCTTTAATATTCTCCCGTCTGGTTAAAGCATTGGTGTAATAGTTCATCTCTTAGGTAGTTTGATTGATCTTTTAATGGTTGCATGTAGTCTAGACTTTAAAATTAGTATTTGCTGCTTCGCCGCCAAGCGACCAGACTTTTGGATAAGAGCCCTCCGAGCATCAGACAGTGCTAAAGGCTGGTTGCTAGAATTTGATTAAGCTTGTATTATTTGGGATAATACTTACTTATATGATCTAGTCCACATGTGTAATTAATCTGAAAGTCATTGAAATTGCTTGATACTGACCATTTACTTTCTTACTCGTTGTGGGATAAACGTCAATGAGACAGCAACCCAACAATATAAATGATGGTTATATTTATGCGCCATTTTGGTTTCTATGCATTTATGTAGTTCATACGTGTTTCTCGTTTCTCGTTTTTATATAGATTAGACCGTTGGTTTTTCCGTTTGAATGGTTTTACACTAGTGATTTTTTGGGGCCCTTTATAGCTTGCTGTTTGGTGTGAGCCAATGCTCCGTGTTGAAGGCCGTATCTTGACCTATAATGGTTTACTTTTATAAATTGTAACTTTGATGGAGAGTTGTCTCATTGGCACTCATACCACATCTTCCTATATCTATATATGGTGGTAATTATATGTTTCACTTTCAAAGTGTTTGGTCTCGAACATACTGCAACCAGATACCTTCGTATGTGGTAAAATCGGCATCTTCCATACACGTATAGGCCCGTCTGCGCTTGTAGGGGGCATCTGTAATATTCTTTCGTCTGGTTAAAGCTTTCGGAATTCCCATGGGGACTAACTGTGCACCACTTATTGCGGACCTGTTTCTGTATTGTTATGAGTTACAATTTTTGACTAAAATCAGCAAAGACCCATCGAAACAACATCTGATTCAAAATTTTAATAACGCTTTTAGATATTTAGATGATATATTGGCTCTCAATAATGACGACTTCAGTATGTACACTAAAGAGATTTATTCTGCCGAACTGACTTTAAATAAAGCTAATACTAATAATGAACACTGCCCTTTCCTGGATTTTGATATCTTTATCTTTAACGGGAAGCTTAATACCAAAATTTATGATAAAAGAGATGATCTTTCATTTCCTATTGTTAATTATCCATTTTTAGATGGTGACGTTTCCTTGTCGCCATCTTATGGTGTTTATATATCTCAACTTGTTCGATTCGCTCGTGTATGTAACAACGTATTTGATTTCAACGAAAGAAATCTCTGTATTACTGAAAAATTATTACACCAGGGTTTTCGATATCACAAACTAGTCAAAACATTTACTAAATTTTATCATCGGTACAAGGACATCATTCGTAAATATAAATCAACATGTTATACGTTCAGGTATTTCACATCCAATGTTTTATGGTAATATTCTTTACAAAGCACAAAAATGTCGGCATTCACCTCAAAAGCTAACCAAACCTTTAAACAGACTTATTCGGAAAGGATATAGTTACGATACTGTTGTCAAGTCATTAAGGATTGCATATTTTGGTATTAATATTGATTCACTCGTAGGGTCTTTGCATCGGAAATAAACACATTTATTCTAAAACCAGTTGTCGGCATGATACGGGTTATGTTCTTCTCATATATTTTATGATGGTATGATACTAAACCCCTAACGGGAGGGGTTGTACTTGATTTTCAAATGATGAAGACATAATCTTCCAATCAGTTTAATTGAGGTCTGGAGCTGGCATGTCAGTAACTGCTAGTAGTCCTTTGCTCATTTATGTATCCTTGTCAATTTGCTTAGTTTCTTTTGTTACCTATTCTGACATCGGACTCGGACTTCTTTTAAACTGAGTTTTACTGTGCGTATTGCTATGTATTTCTTTATTCTACATTGGCTAGAGGTATAGGGGGAGGGTTGAGATCTCACAAAACATGTTTAACCCCGCCGCATTTCTGCGCCTGTCCCAAGTCAGGAGCCTCTGACCTTTGTTAGTCTTGTATGTTTTTTAATTTTAGTTCATTTATATGTTTTGGAGTTTAGTGTGACGTCCATTTTCACTGAACTAGTACACAATTTTATTTAGGGGCCAGCTGAGGACCACCACCGGGTGCGGAAATTTCTCGCTGCGTTGAAGACCCATTGGTTGCCTTCGGCTGTTGTCTGCTCTTTGGTCGGGTTGTTGTCTCTTTGACATATTCGAGCCCCATTTCCATTTTCAATTTTATTGGGAAAAGTTCATATTTTAGTTAGTTTAATTGGATTAATGGTTGCATATAGCAGAAAATATTACATGCAAATTTAAAAGAACGACATGGAGGTGCCAAACCACCAAAGACTTAAAAATAAGTATTTGCTGCATCGCCGCCAAGTAATCAAAGTAATGGATAAGAGCAACGACCGACGGACTAGTACTGAATAATGTGTCCGATAAGGGCGAGATATAAATCAAGGAGATGCTGTATGATTGCTAATGAGACATCTGTCCAACAGAGACCAAATGACGTAGATTTAAGCAATTATAGGTCACCGTACGGCCTTTAACAATAAAACAAAACCCGGATCGTGTAGTGTAGTAAAAGGCCCCGACATGACAAAAGGTGAAATAATTCAAACGGAGAAAAAAAATAACAACATGATTTATGACAAAACTATACGGAAAAAAAGACATAACAGACAGCAACCAACGACAACAAATGAATTACAGACTCCTTGTCTTGGGACAGCACATACACAACGTGGCGGGGTTGATAAAAAAATAAGAGTATGCATGGGTATGATTGCAAATGAGACAACTGAACAATTAAACTTGTTTGTGAGAGCTCGTTCCTCCCTAAACTGGGACAATAGTGGAACAGCAAACTGTAAACATAAGTTGGAAATGACTTGATAACGACACAAAGTACCGATCTCTAGGTACTCGCAGTTACTGAACGCCAATTCAGAGCAAATAACAGCTATTACATCCTTACGGACGATCACCTAAGAGGTTACACTGCATTATAACACAACTCGGACTGAATGTCTAGTACAAAGCAGGTCCGGGGGATCGAACTCATCACTTCCAAACTCGACGCGCTACAAGAAGACAATCTAGGCGTTTAAAGTCATATGAAACTTCAAATTAAAAAAAAGTTGAATATGTTTTATATACTTGAATGGCTAAGTTTTATAATTGTAAAACGAGTGTAAGTGGACTAGCTTTCCTGTATCTTATCAAAATCTTCATTTATGTACTGCTATTGAATTATTGTCTTCCCGTATACTTATTCGCCGATATTTTTCCGTGTGCATTGACCTTAACTACGAGACCTCTCGTTAGAACTTCGGCCACCGCACAGCGCAAGTGCCGGAGGGAAAACCGTGATGAAAGAATGTAAACAAACGTGCACTGAAAGGTAAATAGTAATAATTGATTCCTAAAGAACAAATTAAATACTATTAGTATTATGCAAAAGTTTTTTAAACACATGGGAACGCAAGTAAAATATAAAAAAAAATGTACATCTCTCTTTCAATTCACATATACAAAACGTCAAAGAGACAACAACCAAACAACAAAACAATATTTAATAGAGGTTATTTAATTAGAGGTTAACAATGATGGTGGACAAGCGCCAGATGCATGTGCAAAGCTTTAAAATGCTCTAAGTTTTGACATCAACACATTACAATACACTACTTGGATCAACTTTTCTCATATGTAACTACAAATATAGACCAACTACTTAAGTCTTTGATTAACCAATGTCCTTGATGATAATATCGGAAGAGGCAAAAAGTTGAGAGAAAAAATCTGCATAAAACTAGACCAGAGAAGTTCAAACAAAATCAATGATTATACAGAAACTGTTCTGAATTTCAAATCATTTAAATACATTTAAAGGGGTATAATTTGGACATGCAATGCAAACAACGAATATGAATGTGCACTATTCGAGACGACCTAAAATGATTACCGTTAAAAAAAATTTTTTAACTTATTTTAGTAAATATATTTTACTTTTTTTAACTGATTAAACTTTAAACTTTAAAAAAATAAATCGTTATGTTTACACAGAGACTATATTTTTTAGAAAGTTTCCATGAGAATGAATTTATCGGTGTGCTTGAAAACTTATGATACAGAGGAGTGTTTTATTGCTCTCTCCTCCTGTACAACTCCAGAATATCTTCTGGTGAATAGCACCAAAACAAAATGAATCTGGACCTCTTCTGGAGATATTTTGAAGAAAATGCAATAAAACCCAATTCAATTTGGCGTCGAATATAGCAAACTTTTTTTTTATTGGATGACATGATTGCATTATTTATTACAAAATACAGTTACTTCAGTCAGTCATTCAAGAGACATGACTGTAATAGTGTCCTCTGTTTTGGCATTGATGTATAATTATATAATAAGTGTAAAAACAAAGAAAATTGTTTGGAAGAAATCGCTATATTCGTGACATTTTTTTCTTTATGTTTTCCTAGCTTAATTTAGCTAATCAACTCCGCCTATATGCTCCGACCATTTGAGTTTCAGGAATAATATTAAACTGTAGAAGAATTTGTCAATGCTTGTCTGGTATGTGATCGAAAAA